TGTTGCTTCAAAAAGAAAAAGAAAAAAAAAAAAAGAAACGTAGTTCATAAGATGGATTTGTACATATTTTTACTTTCCAACGAAGTTTTACATTTTGTTTCACCGTAGTGTATAAATTTTTGTAATCGTATGAAAGTACTGTTAATATTGTACATTCGAAACCAGCTCGAGACCAATTTATTACTTATTGCCAATTCTTGGATCGTAGCCAGAAAAATCATTCTATTAGTGAAGCCAATCGTAAAATAAGATTCCTAAAGGATTTAACATCGGGTAAAATATGATTGAAGCTTGATGTTCGAATTGTCAAAGTAATCAAAAATGATTTGCAACCTGTAACTTTTTAGAAGTAAAATTCCCAACTTTTTGAGATTTGAATAATCTAAACTAGATACTATTGTAGACAAACGTTAGATTGTTCCTATTGTTATCTATGACTATGTGTTTTTTTTTATTTCCATCGTGTTTTATATTTTATTAATATCTAATTACATTCGTTGCTGAGTCTAGCGTTAGGTAGAAGTCAAAAGAAGTTTCAAGTTTAATGTATTTCAATTAGTAAATATTTATAGTCCTATAATGTGTTTGTTATACTAATATTGATTACAAAGCAAATGATTTAAAAACATTTCACGCTTCGTGAGACAAATTGTCAAATAATTATCGAAACATTTACTTCGTCTCCTTCGTTCTTTCGTTTATTAGATCGAAATTTTGCTCGCGATGACGAAGATTTATAGGGTTTAGGAGAGAATCATAATAATCATTATTTGTCACAAAGAGAAACAATGAAACATTAAATAAACGTTATTCAACGCGAAAAAGAAATACACAGCACGATTCGTATGCTGTTCGTGAGACTGAGATATCGATAAAAAGGGTTGTTTACGAAACCCTTAATCAATTCAGTGGTACCACACGAAACTCTACTGTTTACTCGGGCGGCTGCCAATATTTGACCTCATGTCCACTTGCGATCATCCGAGATTACTATGTTTTTCCTTTCGTTGCCAATCGAAAACCTCGCGAAAGTATTCAAATACTTATCATACGGGAATTTTTGCGCGTTGCATAATATCTCCATTTCAAACAACTTCGAATGTTATTCGTACAAAAGTATTCTACAAAAGAAAAAAATGTTTCATATAAAAATTGCATATATAGAAGACAACGAGCATTATTTTGGACAGCTACTGTAATTAAGGTAAATAGTGGGATAATAAATAATGTTTAAAAATATCCAGTTAGTTATTAAAATAAATTAAGATAAATCAAACTTGATTACACTTTCTTTTGAAAATTTATTCTTGAAAATTTATACATTTTAATTTATTGTTAGATATTGTGCAATTTTTACTGCTCAGGTCAAGTATGCTTAATTTAAAAGCTCTCTTTAAACTCGACCAATGTGTAATCAAGTAAAATAAAATTTCTACATTGCATGTGTATTTTATAATATTATAAACATTATTTACAATACAATTGTTAACATATCAATACTTTATAAATTCTTTATGCTATAGACGGTGTTTCCTACTTTTCCAGCAAAATTGTAAGAACGTAATCTACATATGGAAAGAATGTTACACGAAGTTTGTCTCTAAATATTTTGTTACAAAGTTGCAGGCAGACATTGAACAACAAAGTCCGTATCGACTCGAAGTTTCATTACCATACACACCTTGATTTCTATTTATGTAGAACTCTGAAACGAAAAGTGTACAACACTTGTACAAACAACTAGATGTAAATAATTAATTCAGCGAATTAATAATTCAATCACCAGGATGATGCAGAATTTTCAAGAAATACAGAATACACGCAACAGATTCCACATTATGTCGATGTCAAATTTGCATCAATGCAGAGTCATCTTAAAATGTGGATTTAAAAATTCTCAACGGTATGAAAAAATATCGTGTAAGTGCAGACGTTCAAAATTTGCCCACAACTTTGTAACAATTCTGCCAGAAAACACTTCGTTATTGAATATTTCCAGTTTCCAAACAAATACACTGACCAGTTTTACTTTTCAATTTTTACATACCTCTGAACAGAAACTTTACTTCAGATATTTAGTGTATTTCATATACTTTTGCGTATCGCGCGCATTTCTACGATTTCCAATTTCCCGAAGACTGCACGAAAATTCACGGTCCGAGACTCGGTTTACGATCTTTAAACAGGGACCGTGCTATGTCAAAAATTTCAACTCGAAAATATTAAAGCAAAGGGTCGCGCGGATATCAAGCTACGGAAATCTAATTAATGAAAAGCTATCGTCGATAGCGTTCAACCAAAAGAACACGGTTGAAAATGCAATTCAGCGAATTGCGAGTCGCGTTGCATAAAACGATTAAGATTTCTGTTGCTCGGTTCTTGGTCGGTTTGTCAGACGATCGATCATCCCGTGATGATCGGAGAACCCCACCGCGATGGGGTGGCGAGAGTTAACGAGATATCGAAACGGCCATTCGATGTTGGACAAAGGTCCAACCGAATGCGAGTTTCATTGTCGGCTACGCTGTGAACCCCGTCCGAGAACAATGCAGTGTATCATTAACGAGCCGAGTGTACTTAGTTAGGTCAGCTTCGTCAGTTTCTTAATTGGCTTCTGCAACAACACCGCGGCACGACAAATCAGCTTGCAACCACGGTTGCTGGCCGACACCGGTAGCAACTTTTGAATCGAATTTTCAAGATTTTGAACAAGTTGACTGTTTTTTTTTTTTTTTTTTTTAAAAAACTCTTTCAACGGGACATTGAACCTCGGATTTCACAGCTTTCACTTGGCAATGTTCGGTAAAAGATCATTTTAAAGTCTCGATTTTCAAACTTGTGAATTTGTATTTAAGATTTAGTAATGAGAAGAATTTTCCCATCTCTCCGTTTCAAACTTGCAAAATTTTATGATGAGGAAAATTCTTTTCTTCTTTCTTTCGCCTGCTATATCATGCAAGAAGGAAAAAAGAAATAAATAAAACAAAGGATGATGAATGTAGAGGCTTAGGAAAGAGATAGAGTTCAAGGTTATTATTTTATAATTTTTATCTATCTACGTTTCAAATATTAGCGTTTGCTTTTTAGCGAAGGGCCAAGTTCAAGCATCCAGGTGGTTTACGTGTGAAATTTGATACATACGTAGTAATTAATAATACACTGATTTTAACTGACTATCAGTTGATGCGTACCAACTGTTTGAAGAGCAACTTGATTAGCAATCGTTTGCACAGCTATAATGAATCAATTCTTACGTTGGACGAGATTTAACATCGACAGAGATAAGAGAAAATTTCGTAATTGTTTTGTAATTATATCACTCGATATTTATTTCACACAGAATGACAAAACTGAATTTTCTGGATAGATCGTCTGCGTTGTATAAAACGTTCTGACATTTCATTAACAATATAACGAAGTTATTGGTCAAGTTTGAAACAACTCTGGAAACACATATACATTTTATATACTCATATTTTGCATAAATTACAGAAAAATACTTAAATAGCCAATAATACGAAAGTGCGACAAAGCATTCTGACACGTGTTACTTCCTTGTGAAAAATCTGCAACACGCGCAAGTTTCCTTGCAAGATTCATTGCGTTGAATTTCCGAGTCGTGTATTTGTCACGTAATGTCAAAGTCTTTCCATTAAACGCGTCATTATTTTTGTCGAGAAATTGAGTCGTGCTTTGTAGCGGGACGCGGAGTGAAAAAGAACGCAGATATTTCTCTTCCAGCTACGCGGAAAGTAGAAGAAAGTGCTTCTAGTTTCGAAGTTTGGATGCTTCGTGCCGAGAAAGCAATCTACATGTTGACTCTTTGCCTCGCGATTTTTCTCTGTAGCTGGTTTTTGAATGATCGTTATAGTGTTGCAAATACCACGTCTGATAGAAAATATTATATTAAAAGTTGCGTGTAATTTGTACTTGAAGAACACTTCAATCTAAAGTTCACTCTGTTGCTGGTCTCCTTACTTCTTTATCACGTGGTATCTCTCCGGATATCTCTTTCTTTGAAGTATTATTACATTAGTACTAACTTTGAAGTATTATTACATTACATTAGTACTAACTTTGAAGTATTATTATATCAGTATATTATTTATAATTTAGATTGTATTGAAGACCGTAAGATTTTATTGAATGTTAAAAGCTAAATGTTTAAAAACTGTAGGAAACGTGTGATATCAAATAGCTATTCAGGAATTCAACAACTTTTCAATAATGACTCTCAAAAATTGTCTCTCTCTCTCTCTCTCTCTCACGTTTCACGCTTCACGCATGAAGTTTGTTTAAGAAATAAAATCAAATAGTGCAGTCGTCGATGATCCACGATTTTAAGATTAATAAGAAAAAATATATTCTTCGTTATGAGATCTTTTACTTCAATTCGTGGATTTACAAGTTCCATTACTATCGGTCTATGTAATATATCATAAATTAAACAGGATAAACTAGTTATAATTCCCTATCTTCAACCGTCTTCGATATACTTAATACCAAGAATGGTTATTATTATATTCAAAGAAGGATTTTGAATATTTTTATGAACTTTCATTAATTGTTCAATGAAGATCAGATCATTTCCAGAATACTGACAATGGTTTAAAAGAACGTTCGACAAATCGAAAATATACGATCTTACGAATATCCGTGACATATGTACATAATTACTATACATATGCACAATAAATTAACTATAAGAATTGAAAGAATTTTTCAACATTGGAACTGTGCAAGAAAATTCGAAGAGTTCGCTTAATATTCTTCCTACGATTCTATAATTTTACGAATTTTTCAAGAAATTGAAGTGTTTATAATATTACCACGTATTACCTTCCTTAATGGATGTTAACTAATAAATAAATGGACCTCCAAGTAAAATATTCCAAATTCTTGCTTTCCTACTACGAGCATTTGAAATTTATGCGCAGACTTTCGTGAATAAGTGGAATATAAGTTTGGTGAAATATTGAACAAAAGTTGGAGAAACTCACCAGTTCTCAGAGGCGTCCTCGTCGAGGATGGTCCCGTCAGCAAGTCGATGAGGTAAGTTGGTCGTGGTTCTCGGTCGATTCCTGACCCTCGGTGGACCAACGACACCGGTCCTGGAGAGGCCAGCACGAAAGGACGCCCTTGCCCTGTCGACTGCTCGAGTCAACGTCATTGAATCTTATTAGTAGATTGTTAGTAGAAACTGCTAGCTATGCATCGGAGAAAACATATATTGCCGGCACTCGCGTACTTAATAATTTCATAACTTGCTATCATTGCGGATGTTTATGCAAACCCTTCAGAGACTCGACTGCCATTTGAACATTGCAATAACGCCTGTGTTAAATTTCTACGAGAAGTTATTTCGTAATTAATATATAAAAATGACATTTGACTTGCTCGTTTATTGACATCATTTAAACCTACAGAATTTGTCATTAAACCTGTCTATCTGATTACTATTTATGTAAGTTAAGTTAAGTCCATGAAAATTGTAAAAATATTTAAATCATAACAAACAGATGTTATTGCAAACCATGAAAATAAAATCGAAAACAAAGAAAAACTCTATACTTGAATTTGGCTAAAAACAGAAATCGATAGATCATTCTTGATGCGTGTAAAAATAGTAAAATTCTTTTCCGTAGACTTTCTTCGTTCTCGAGAAAATTAAATTTTTATCAAGCATTTGATAAACGTGCATTTGGCAAATTAATTTCCACATCTAACAAATATTTTATTTGTAACGTTAGTTTTCAAGCTATTGAGATTTTAATAAAGATCGCCAAGTGCAATAAATTTTGAAAAAATTTATGATAAATAATGTAATGGACAAGTGAGAAGTGTAATAAATAATTGATAAAGATGAAACTTATAATTGTAATATTCTTGTTCAAAAAACAATATAATTGTAAATTATTGTAATACTCTTACTCGTGTAAACGAAGACGTTTATTTCATTTAAAGAATACGGATGCTAGAAAATTTGTATGCAAGAACGTATTATATTATATTATATTATATTATTTGAAAAATATAACACGTCAAAGATTTGATTTCACAATCAAAAATACAATACGCGTTACAATATTTCGAAAAATAAATAAATCTCCACAGGTAGAATTTGCATAAACATCCTGCAGTTTATTTAAACTTCTCTTACAGGTCATTGAATTCTGATTATCTCACAAGCCAATAAGCATAAAGCTGTCAAAGTTCGTACGTTCCACCGTTATAAATTTACGAGCGTTGTTCTATACGTGCTCTCTACTTTCTGCAATATATATTTTTCTCAGCGAACTCGAGCTGTTTGAGTGAGTTACGCGTAAACGAAGTTAGTCACCGGTTGGATTAAACAAACTTTCGTCGGGACGAGAGGAAATGGGATCATGAATCGCGTTCCACCGACACCGAGGGCACGGACTTTGCTTGGAAAATTAACGCTTTGAATATGTTGAATTAAAAAAAAAAAACCTTAATTTTTCTGAGACCCGAGAAAGATGACAGCCGGAGGAAAACCAAGAGTGCGAAATTTTATAAAGAAGTTTCATTTTAATCCGTGAGGTAACATCTTCTACATCCGAACCATTATTCGAATAACATATCGTAAAATATCTCGTCAACCACTAAGTTTAAGACTAATAAAAGCTTGCGTACTTTCGTACTTGTACTTTAGTATTTTCTTCCTTGGAACATAATAGTCTTTCCAACTATAACGGAACAGACAGTGAATCTTCAAAATTGTGAAATCTCTTCGTATGAGAAAAAGATTATTCTTTGAATAATCCATACAAGTAATTAAATTATACGTAAAACCAAATTGATAAAATTAATTAATAACATATACTGTATAACAGACGTACATAATTTTGTTATTAGATAATATATTATAATAATAAAATATAGTACAATATATATATATTTTGTTGGAAGTATAATTTAAAATATTTCTGCAAGTTACCCTGGATCGGAAATATTTCTATAAAGAAGAGATTGCAAAGATTAATTTCTGTAGATCTGCAGTTAATATTCATTTTAATGCAATTTAGCAATCATCATCTATCGAAAGTTAATAACGAACTGCATGAAAAGTGATAGAAAACGGCCAGATGGTAGGAAACTATCGATTTATCGTTACATGCACGATTGGTTCGTTGACACACGAATTCTACGAGCCTCTATATGATCGTCGGAAAGCTCTTTGATTTTCGGCCAAGCGCGAGTCGTTGAACTTCACGTACCGAAATACAGTAACTGCTTTTGATTTGATCATACAAACAGAAATGTCGGGAAAGAACGAGTAGCTAGAGTCGGCAAGATTGAAAAGGAGATATCCACGAGTTCTATTGGGAAAGATAAACATTTTCCTGCGCAGTAATAGTAATCAATAACAATAAAATCCTGCACAAATCCTTTCTCGTTACCATTAATATTAGAATATACAGAATGAACAACAATAAATATAAAACGACGCATGTCATCACTGTGATTTTTAATAAAATAACTAGTAATTTAATTTATATTTATATATAAATATTAAATTATATATATTCGTGAATTCGTTAATAGCGCTTCTCGTGATTATGATAATAATTCCGTTTCATCGATGATCGATAGATTGCGGATGTTTGTGAAACAAACGTAAATTTCTACGAACCTGATGAAAAGATTCATTTCTTTCACTGGAAGATAAACGAGCGCCCGATCTTCGTATATACTTTGAACGTCTCTGCGCATTATTTTTAAAAATTCCACAGCGCAAATGCATAGAAATCTGCGCAGTCCGGTGACCGCGTTGCGTTTAATATAAAATACCTTCGCTTTAATATAAAATTCAACGAGCGATACTGCGAAAGAGCAGTACGTAACGACCTGGTAAAAAATCTAGTTTCACGCGAAATCCTAATTGATTCAGTCGTTACAAAAAAGAGAAACACACCGACATGTAACACAACTCGTTTATTAAAACGATTATTATTATTATTATGTTGTTGAATCAATCTCGTTCCCAGGATTGTGCCCATCAGCTGATTCGCCTGTGCCGAATGAGTCTGTGTGAAGGTGGATTTATCAAGGAGGTAGGCAGAGGGTGTCTATAGCTTCCTATACGGGGGGTATAATATTTATTACCGGGTCAGGGTTAACCGTTAGGCGCGCCACACACACGTCCAACGACTGTTCTGCGGCGTCATTCTAAAAATAGTCTTGCCAACACTCCAGATATAAAACGTGATCACGCGTCTCCTCTTTCTCGCGTGTCGCCCCCGTACGCGCGCGTGTACCACTGCAATTGCCTAGGGTGGAATCGGCAATGTCGCTCGGATGGAAGTTTACTCCGAGTGAATAACTATTGAAAGAACTATGCTCGCCGACGAACCGGTGAACATTGAAATTGGGCAGGCCGACGAGAAGAATTACTGCAATTTCGCGGATGATGTCGCGGATGATCAACGGATCATCGTTTTCGAAACCTTGAAACTTTAGAATTTGACTTGACGCACCTCGCGAATGTTTTCGAGACATTTAGACCTTTTAACGAGCTGTGTACAGCCCTTGGTCATTGAATTACGAATTTTACGATGGAAAAGTTCGAACGAAATTTAATTGCAAGCATTTTATTAATTGTTAAGTTTATTAATTGTTATATTACTTTGAAATACTCGTGTTTCCTTTGGATCGTTTTTTTCAATCTTGTATTGTCTATGAAGGATGTGGAGGGTTGCGGATTATTTGAAACTATTATAAAATTCCTATTGAGACTAGAATCATTTCGACGTTTCGTATAACTTTGGTAAAATAGAAACGTTCGAAGTTTTGTTAATTATTAAAATATTAGACTAATATATTCTGGAATAATCCACTGTTAATGTGTTTCCTTGGTTCATTAAAAATCTTTGTTAATTGTTAAAGTTATTATAAAAGTTTTGTAGAGAATATGGAGGATTGCAGGTTATTTGTTACGAGAAATAACATGATTTTTCAAATAAAATGAGAGAAAACATAAAAATTTCTGACTGAACCTAATTCAATGGTCTATACAATATAATTAAGAACATTATATTGAAAAGGAAAAAAAACACTGACTAAATATATCGCTATACAATGTTCAATCTTCATTTTCGTACATCGTCTGTACATCTTCGATATCAGCAATAATAAGAAACGATTCCTCCCCTAGCTACTACCTCATTTATCCTCTTCCGTATAAATCGAGTACTCGAAAGTACTTGATAAGAAAAAAAACTCACGAAACTCGTAGAGGCTCGTCCTAACCCGGCAGCCTTCTTATTTGGAATTCAGCGCTTAAAACTCGACTCTCGGTGATCGAGGACGATAACAGAGAGGCCGAGGCAGAGAAAGGAAGCCTGCAGATCAATTACGATTCGACAGACGGTTCGAGGCAGCCTCCCCATCGTGAATTAGAAACTTTTCTCATAAGACGATCCTACCTCGGAGGAAAAATAGAAAAAGAAAAGAAAAAAAAAAAAAAAAAAAAAAATAGGAAAAACAAAGAGAATAGTCGAACGAGGCGTGTTTCGAACGATCGAGACGTGACACGCGGAAGGAGACTAATTCGCGAGTGGCGCGGTGGTATCGTTGCGCGACTCATTATGCGGGCAAACCTGACCTCGATCTCCGATTGTAATGATCTTCCGCGGCTGGTGGAACGTGTGTTACGTGGCCCGGTTGCCAGCGGGCCGGCCCTGAATGTCGACGACGCTGTCTTATACCGATCGGTGCAGCAGAAAATAATGATCCTCCGGCTTAAAAGCCGCAGAAAACTATAATACACGTGAACGTGGCACGAAACGTTCTGGCAATGACACCAACCACTGTGTTGCACTGCGTCCAGCGTGCGTTTCGTCTTTCCTTGCCTTCGTTGCCTTTCGTATTAGCGAACTGATTCCCTCGTGAATCCCTGGTTCAGCGACGGACAATCGTTTTATCGAATTCGTTTTCTACCGAACACTTTGATTAATTTATAATATTCAAATTAGATATGTGTGTGTGTGTATGTAGACATTGTTCAGTGCACGTTAAGACGTTACTGTAGCAATGGATAAATAACAAGATCAGGACAAGAAGATGTTCTATTAATCATTTCAACAACCGATTATTTATGGTACTCAAGGGCATACGTCATGTTCTTTTCTTTTGTATTTCAATTTTTTGAAACTGTATATAGTTTAAAATCTCATTATATTATATTATTGTTATGTAGTATTGAAATATCATTACAACAGTACTCTAGTGATATTATTATTATTAATAATATTGGTACTAGTAACATTATTAATTACTAATATAAAATGAACATTTACGAGTAGACTGTGAATTTTAATGCGTTTAGCTAAATTTCTTCATTTCTTTCATATTTTCTTTTTTCACCTGTGTAATTTCAAATTCGAATCGTATATGATTTAAAGTGTCAGCCTATTTAAAGTATTTATTGCCTATTATTGCTATACATTATCACATTAAAATATTATCGTGTCAGTATTAAAATATTTATTGCACATCACCAATTCCGATATTTCAGAAGAAATACGTATTACCTCTCTCATAAACGTTAAGCTTAAGCAAGATTGTTCAACGTCAAGCCCTTCCTTCGACACAGATAATCATTTTAATTAGTTTCACTGCATTTAATTAAGCAGAGGGAGATGCACTCGAGGATTGCATTCGAAGCACGCTTTCTCCCCGGGAAAAGAAATTGGCGGACCGAGACACTTGTTTCCTCGACGTTTAAGCACTTCTGCTTTTAATCGCTCAAAGAAGAGGAGAGGGAGAAATACATATAAAGTTGATTTCATCGTCAAAGTCTTGAGTAAATAATCTAACTTTGCACACGTTCCTTCTTGCGCAAAGAATATTAGAGTATTACGTTTTTTATGAATGAAAGTTTCAACAGAAATGAGAAGAACCGAATGAGAAGAATGTTCTTTTAATGATCACAATCAGTCTAAAAAGTTTTCGTTGAATGTAACTTCCTTTATCTCATTTTTATTACAGTATTTCTGTTTAGCTTAATTGTTAAGAAATTATTAATTTTGCATATCTAAATACTGGAGTACATCATTCCGTGAGTAATTTCTCTGAGAGTTCAGTTTTAAACAATGGGAATGGTTACCATCGAAGTTTTGAAAAATTGGAACATGAAAGCTAATGGAAAAAGATAGTAAAGTGTAAGAATCATCGATCGATTGCTAACGGGTTACTTCTTTTATTTTTATCTAATATACGAAAACCGACGTCATTCAACCAAGATTATTCTTGGATCACCCACAGAATATAGATATTCTAATTTTTGAACCATGTCAGATAGATAGAACCACTCTTGTACCTATTACAAAGTCGAGAACTTCATCTTTCTCAATAAACCTATTTTCACACGTTCAATGTTCGTTTGAATCAAATCCAAATTTCTGCCCTGACAAACTCTGTTTCTGATAATTTTAAAGCTCATGCTGTATTACAGGTCGTTGAACTCATCTTGGCATTAGCTACGTTAGTTAGGAAATCAAAAGTAGAACTATATACAGCGAAACTTGAGAGACAAGTAGAACAATCTGAATAAATAAAACTCGTCACATTATTATTGTATAATTCTACAGTCCCTGGTCAAAAAATTAGGACCACTTACAATTTTAACATCATTCGAGTTCACGATAAATTTTAAAAGTTTAAACAAAATTTAATTTAATATGTATTAATAATTAGCGATCTTGTTAGATTATTATTATTATTCAACACGTATAATAATTTACATATAATTATACACAATATTTCGTTCCTTTTTATTACCAAGTACTTAATCGGTGAACGAAAGTTGAGAATCGAGGGAACTTTCATGCCAAAATATCAGTCGCAAATGATAAATAATTAACACTAGAACTACCAAAATGGTCAAAATGACCATTGGGTGTAAAACATTGTAAAGTTTCCTATTTTTCTAATCGCCGGTAATTCTGAAGCATGTGCATCGTTCACAATAGATTCAGATCATCCAAAATAAAGGACATGATAGAGCAACGCGTACGGAATATGTTCGAAAAGAATATACGCTGTAATCAAATCAAAGAAGATCGTCGACTGACATTCGAACATAATACGCGTGAATTTTAATTAAAGTTGATAGAAAATCATCACCAAATTTCGTTCGCGTTTCAAAATTCTTCTAGAACTACAAAACATGTTTGAAATTGTAAATGGTCCTTAATTTTTGGCAAAGAGTTGTTACACAAATAACGTGTAATTTATATAATTTATATAACAAACAATCTCAGAGATTAAAAAACTCGGTAATACACCAAATAATCCTTGCCACTTCGCTAAGGAACTGTTAACAGACACTGTACACCTACAGATTCATGGCGATTCGAAGTGTCTCAGACGCCATCAAGCGCGTGAAACTCGTCGCACCGGCGTAATTTCATTAGCCATACCGCGGTGAAAAGGAATTCGGCATGTTGTATACTGCCGGACAATAAAAGCGACTCGGTGGTAATTTTTACAAGCACCTTTCGTACATCAGTCTGTGGCAAGGAAGGTCACGCTGCACTCCAACCACGCTGCTACAGACACACCCAGTGTTAACACTTAACTACGTGACCTAGTGTCCTCGGCGTTGCACAACGAGGCGAGAAACTAGAGAGAATGTCTGCGAAAATTAAATAGGACAAACAGAAACGCGTGGGCGTGACATTTTTAGCGGAATCGAATGTATTTTCATCGTCCCGGAATCGCGCGCGCGCGCGCGGTGTGTTAAAGGTGTCAGGAGTATCAAAAAGATACATACACTTTCAAAGAACAATTGCAGAAACACGATTTGAACAATCAAGCTTATATAATAAGTTATTTAAGAGTTAATTAATTTGCCAAATGTCTCGTAGAATGGTAACGGGAAGGAAACGTGCGCGCGTAACTTTTAACAGTTAGTAAAAATTTGTTTAACAGAGGCAACGTGTAAAAAAATGTTGAAAATTCAATGGCAAAGCAATTGAAACGAGAAACAAAAATCGGACAAGGAGGATCGTTCAAATCTCCGGTGACGAATTGTCAAAAAGTTCCTGGAAATTTCTACAATTACAAAAATCAACAACGATGCAACAGCAACAAACGTGACAAAGAGTTATTTGAGCGTTAATTTGCCAACTGTCCCGCGGAGCACGACATGACGCACTGCAACAACGTGAATGCAAATTGCACGTGAAATTTACGGTGGTTCCCGACGAGGCGAGTAAGCCAACGTGGAAAATGAGAAACAGCGTGGGGCAGGGGAGAGGTGGAGGGGGTAGATGAGAGACACAGGAAGAAAGAAGAAAGAAAAACGAGAAAAACTTGGGGAAGAAGAAGAAGAAGGAGAGAGAAGGAAAAAAAAAAGAAATTGGAACTTACAGCGTGTGACGAGCCTGTTGTTGGTCTGGCTTGGGGGCGGAATTGCAGGCTGCGGAGGTGGTTGCGAGCTCAAATCCTCGAAGTTTATGATTTGCAAGCAGATGTCGTCCACCTCGCTCCTTATTAGCGCTATCACCTCGCTGCACAGAAATTTGGTGCCTGCGACAGATAAAAATTAATCCGATTAGCTCGCGCGCGTATCTACTGATGAGTATCTTCAGACTTGGAGAAATATACGATTCTCTTTCAAGTTTTTATACCGTTCATTTTATACATTCAGAGAAGAAATTCGTCAGTTTTCGTACAATTTATGAAATCTCAGGAAATTATTCCTTTATTCTCAGTGAATAATTAACACGTTTCGTGTCTCTGGTCCAAAAATACATGGATTGCACTATATCTGGTAATATTGTAATTCCGATTTTAGTACCAAGCATGCATCTTGCAACGATAGCCCGTTAGAAGCGGAAACACTGCGAGATAGCGCAACAAATATTGATTCCCAGGTATTAAACAAAGAAATTATTCGCGTTCATCTTCATAAAGAAATGCTAATTTATCAGACGCATTAAACGGGATCACGGGGTGTCTGGCGCGATAAATATCGCCGCGTTCGACGTGTTACAGCGATCGTCTATTAAACTTCAACCTGGTTAAATGTCTCGTGTCTTGTTTGAAGTTATCCATAGGCCCCTACGAAGCAACCACAGGGGTAATAAAGACTTCGTAACTTCAATAAATCGCGTCTGGATTCGATCCAAATACAGTAGCTCGTAAAACTATTCGTTGCAATAAACCATAGAAATGTTCTACGTGCATATTTTTGAATAAAAAGAAATAATCCTTGCTCAACCTTTTGCAATCTGAGCAATATTTATAGTGCAATGAGTCACTCGATCAATAATTATAAATTTGAAGTTATTTCCTCGTTGTCGTGTTGTATTAAATGTAGAAAAAGTGCATGGCTAGTTTTTTACTTGTTTATTTACCTGAATTTTTTGCTTTTTTTTTAATTTGAATTATTATATTATATTATTTAATTATTACAACAGGATCTTACGTTGGATCTTATTATTAACTTAATATTACATTCAGATTCTGTTTTCACGAGCGATCTCATGTGTTTGTTCATTTTGATGTCTTTTCAAGAAATTATTATATTTCAAGTTTCTCAAGGTTGAATTTCATTACAAATCTAACGTTCATATATTTTAAATTTTGTTTTCATGTTTGGATATTTACGCGAGCAGAATTTGTAGGCCGAAAGACAATATGAAATATCGTTTTATTTCGAGGAATATCGTGAGAGTTATTCGTCACACGTGTTCCCCAATTTCTGTCTCTACGTATTAGATTGTTCAGAAAGTTCAATCAGATTTCGACATCTAAATTATGAATCTGCCGAGGGAAATTATTCGAAATATGGCCCATTACGGGCGATAATTTATTTAGAAATAATAAAGCGAGGTCCATTACTTTCAATTTATTTATTCATGCCATCTATGAAAAAAATATTATGCAACTTGATGCCAATAAAGTTCATGAAGGCTTGTTCGATGGAGCTATTCAGATTTGAGATATAATCTGTGGGCGAAAGGTCAGAGTTTCATATTGTTAACACGTGCGATTAAGCGTTATCATGTAAAAGAATCCTTTCTTGACTAATATCAGACAGGATCAGGATAACAATCTTTGACGTATATTACCCAGTTCATTGCAATATTTAATTGCAGCCGTAGTCTCGTCTGTCTGATTTCAAAAAATTATTGTTACCATGAATACCACGAATAAACCATCATGTGAATAAGCTAAATATATTTATAATATTTTAATCAATAAATGAATAAGCTAAATACATTTTATAATATTTTAATCAATAAAAAGAGACTGTTTCCTTGTTTCCATCAAAATGCCATCCAAATGGCGTAACATTTTTATGCATTGTTGACATAATTCGGTGAAAACAGTTGGTAAAAACTGTACGATATAATTAAGTATAAAATATTCCTGTGTATATATTATATATAAAGTAATTTATATACTATAAATATATACATATATGATTAATGTATATAATTATTCAAATTCAAACGTCGAAAACCGACAGAACTTTTTCAACTTTCTGAATCTAATACGTCGTTGCCAAGGATCGATTCTAGTTGTCGATGATCGATGCAGCCAAATGCTCCATTGCAAGTTTCATTCATATCCCTGAAGGAACACTCAGTCCAATACTCGTCTCGCGTTGATTCAGAAATCTCTTTGGACAGTGCTACTTCCTCGAGTTATGTCATTCGCACGTGGCGCGATAATTCCTCGAGTCGTCACGAATCCGAACGGAAGATTAACAAAGTGGTGCAATCGCGTTACCCCACTTAACAATGTTACGCGGCTTCTGGGAAAGAATATTCGAATTACGACCTACGCTAACCCATAAAGATGGTAAAGATGGATTAAAGTGGTTCGTGAGTGCATTCGAACACGCATCGACATCTTTCACGAACATTGGCAAATTCCATTAGCAAAGTGACGACAATTGATTATCGCGATTTTATTAGTAATAAATTTTTTAACAATCCCGGATTGGATATTTTTTGTGCAAGCGCAATCAATCACAGTAATAAATGTAACAGATTTCCTACAAATGTTCAAAAAAACTTCTACGAAGAACAGTTACCACGTTTGGACCAAAAAAATTCGAATGACGTGCGTGACATGTCATTGAGAACGCAAGAGGTTAAAATTAACATTTTTTTCTTCTTCTTCCTTTGTTTCTTCGGATTACTGTACCCCCGAAATTCGAAGAAGAAAGAATCGAAGCACCGAAGTATCGGTTAAAGCCCGATAAATCACGGTCGGTGATTCGATCACGAGAACGAATATATATATATATCCCACACGGATACGAGTGTAAAAAGCCTCTTCGCGGCATTTGCGGCCAGCGTCAAGGTCACGGAAGCCCGTAACCACTGGAACACGATTAACTACGACTACGACGAACGACTTGGTGGATTTTGTTCGCCGGGCTGCGCGAGCTACGTCGACTAATTAGCTAATGTGTGTGTTTACGAGTCAAGGTACGTTGGACTTGGTTCAAAATAGAGGTGTGCGAGAACGTGAAATATCGGGTTGGATCGGGAACACGAAATTTCTTCTGGTTCGGGATCCGAAAATTTCGAGATTCTCGAATTTATTGAGAGTCTCGAAAGAATCGGAATTCCCGAAAGAGTTGGGATTTGGGAAAGGATTGGTAACAAGAATAAATAATTTCGTTAATGCTCACGTCTTCAACTATATCGAAAGTTCGCAGATCTATTATCATTCCATCATTCGAGCAATTGCTTCTGTTATATCTTTTGGTTTAACACTCTTTCGCGTATCATTTTGTACATGCGACAAATGTTATATCGATTCAGTTTCTAGTACATGTACTTATGTTTGGATGCAAAAATGCTTTCAAATGGCGTAATAAACCAGTGGTATTTGCATTACTTAGTTTTAAATTCGCGGTGACAATGTATGCACCTTCCGCCTTTGTAGTATCTTTCTCCTGAAAATGTTCCCAAACAGAGCTTCTTCCTTTACACGATATCTTCTGCGCTACTTCCTGCTACCACAACTTTATTCTAACTATCACTCGACATTTTTTTTTAAAGATTTTTAATCTTTATTAAATTTACACAGATTTTGAAATACACGTCTGAGCTTCCCGAATTTCTCAGCGATACTGCTCAACAGCGTACATAATGTTCAAATACTAAGCACGCAGTCACACGTTCGTTCACATCAGATCACACGATTCTTAGAATCCGTGTTTCCAATAATCTCACTGGCAGAAGAAATTGAACTGTGTATTTACATATTTTGTAGGCTGTTATACAGCACTGTAGAGTTTTTAATTTTCGGGAATCTCGACTTTTTTCGGGACACCCGATTCCTTCGGGAATCTCGAAATTTTCGGGAACACGACTCGTCTCGACCATCGAGTTCACGATATTTTGAGATTCTCGCATACCCCTAAAATTACAGTATTTATTGTTGCCTAAGATTAATGGGGGCTATAAAACAATAAAACTGTAAAATTGAAAAATTACGAACGATATAAAACATAAAAAACTGTAAAACTATTGATTACTGAAGAAGATAGAAATAGTGTTTCTAGAAGTATTAACAAAAACTACCACCTGCTATGCATCGCTGACTTTACCTTTATCTGTTGGTTGAACAGTGAAAAAGGTCATTATAAGTTGAACCTTCATCGTGTGTACATCGATTAAATATTCGAAGTGAATTTTTAAATAATATTTCTGAATATTCTAATTGTTTAAACATTACCTAATATTTCCAATAATTTATTTGCAACAATTAAACAATAAATTCTCTTTTGTAATATTTCTAAGTGTTATTTAAAATATTTAACTTCTCTCTACATAAATTTCTATTTAATATACATCAGTGCAGTTATAACTTAAAAATTAATATCATCAAAATTAGTTTCAGCCGATAAAAAATTAATAAATTATTACATTTAACATTGTAACATATTCAGGAAACTGTAACTTTGCAATAGAAATGTAAAAACTACTAAAGTACTGATTAGTAAAAATAGAAAAATTGTTCTTTGAAATTAGCAACTATTCTGGATCACTGACGACCGAAATATATGTTAACCTTGAGCGGAGACTATTTACCAATAAAACTTTCGTCGTGTACGCATCGACCAAATTTTAGGAATTTGATAAAAAATTATCAACTGTTCTGGATCAATGACGACCGAAATATATATTAACCTTGAGCGGTATGAAGGCTCATTACCAATTAAACTTTCGTTGTGTGCACATCGACCAAAATATAGGAGTGAGTTTTAAATAATATTTCTGAATATTCTACTTGTTTAAACATTATCTAATATTTCTAATGATTTATTTGTAACAATTAAACAATAAATTCTCGTCTGTAATGTTTCTAATGTTGCCATTTAAAATTTTTAACTAATAATTTATAAGAATGTTGAACAATGTACTTAAGAGAAACGATATTGACTTATTGAATGAAATAATTAATTTAATTGCTTAATCGTAATATAAAAATTGTGAAAATTATAAAATAGTGACTAGAAATATTGTAGAAATTAAATAATTTAATTATTAAAAATTTAATTGTTTCAAATGAATTATTCAAATTGTAAAATAATGCATTTCGATGATATTTTTGTATATCATTTAACAAATTTAACTATTTATTTATAGCAATTCAATCAGTGATTG